AAAGAGAGAGGTCGGCGTCGAGCACATGGTCTTCTGGAGTAGGGCGGCTGACAGGAGAGCGGGATAAGGCATTAGGGATGCAGAGCTCTTTACCAGCACGCCACACTGCTGTGTAGATGTACGCCGAGAGCTTCTCTTTCAGACGCTGGAGGCGAGGGTTCTCAACGGCGTCCAGTGTGTAGTGGTTGAGGATCGGGACAAGCGGGCGATGGTCGGTCAATAGGTGAAAGTGTTGCAGGCCTATGAGGTAAAACCTGCACTTGGACATCGCCCAAACCACAGCCAACAGCTCCAACTCATTAGTGGCGTAGCGCGTCTCGGTGTCAGAGAGGAAACGCGAGCCACACTGGACGAGCCGGAACTGCCGTCCACCAAGATCCTGCAATAGGGCGTATCCCACGCCGTAGAAGCGTGAGGCATCTGTCTGCAGGACCGTCGGCAAGGCTGGGTCAAACGTGGCTAGGACAGGTGGACTAGACAGGGCCTGTTTTACTTGGTGGAAGGCCTTGTCGTGGTCGGGGGTCCACAGGAATGTCCTCTTGGAGCTCATCAGGGGGCGAAGTGGTTGAGCAGCTACGGAGATGTCCGGCGAAAACTCTGCTAACTGGTTGACGAGACCAATGAAGGACCTCAAGTCGGTGAGGTTAGCAGGGGTGGGAAAATCTGTGATGGCGCGGACCTTCTCCGGGTCAGCTGCATTACCATTCCCTGAGAGGGTGTACCCACAAAAGTCCACTGAAGAGCTGGCCAGAACAAACTTGTCAGCATTTAGGGTGATGCCGTGCTTCCGGCAAATGTTGAGTACCTCGTAGATACGGCAGAGGTGATCCATGTAATCCTCATCGTACATGAGTATGTTGTCGACCACTTTCACGCAGTTTGCCAGAACTTGTAGAGCCATATCACCTCGAAGGCAGAAAGCGTCTCCTGTAGCGGCGAATCCCATGGGGCCATGGCAAAAACTGTAACGTCCATGCGGGGTAATGAAAGTTGTAAGTGGTCGGTCTTCTTCGGCAAGCTCTATCTGCCAGTATCTACACAGGGCGTCCATCGTCGAGAAGAAGCGCGCCTTCGGGTTCACACTGCGTATAGCTGCAAAGGTCGAGGGAGAAGGGTGCGCAGGACGAGACACCTGGCTGTTGAGCTTGGAGAGGTCAGTGGTGATCCGAACACCACCTTTGGGTTTTGCGACGACTACCACAGGGTGACACCATGGAGACGGGTCATCGTCGGCTGGTGCAATAATTTTTTGGGCAACCATGGAGTCCAGCTCGTTTTTTACCGCCTCGCGGAAGGCCAGGGGGACCAGTCGAGGGGTGTAGATAGCGAAGGGCTTCGCGTCGTCCCTCAAATGGATCCTGATGAGGGGGGCCTACCATCTTCTTGAGAGGCTTCGATTCCAGAGCGGACTTGGTCACCAGAACGTCGCTGAATTCCTTCAGGAAGTACTTCCGAGCATCCGAAGGAGAGGTGTCACTGGCAAGAGGTAGGGGTAGGGCGACAGCAGGGTCGTTGCTGCTCCCTTTGTGCACCCTGTTGGCGTGTTTTACCTCGAGAATAGGTTTGGGGAAGCCCTGGGAGATGATGGCCAATGTCTGTAGGACAGCAAAGGAGTCGGAACACCGTTATGCACATCAATCCAGGCTTGACACGACCTGTTGCCAAAGGTGACCTGTGCTTGGAGTGAACCTAGGGCTGGGGCCATCTGTGAACCATCTGCCTTGAAGTGGAGATCCTTGGGGGGCGGTCCTAGATCACTTGGAGAGAGCCCCAAGCATTGCAAATGCTGGGGACCGATGACTGTAGCATCAGCGCCGGTGTCGGGCAACATCTGAAGACAGGATGACACACTGCCGTAGGTCACGATGACGCTGATGTGCTGGGGAACTTTGGTCCTGGGACGCGAAGGGGAGCACACCTTCCTAATATGGCTGGAGCGTTGTCCAGGGTCGTCATGCTTCTGATTGGAAGACTGTAGGCGGCCCTCACTGGTGGAAGGGGGCTGAAGCTTCTGCCGACGCTGTCCCTTGGGTTTGTTGGTAGGGCAACACTTGTCGTAGTGGCCCAGACGACAAAACACATTGCACTGGACGTGCTTAGCTGGGTACCTCACTGTGAGCGACCAGTGGCCCTTACGGTCACAACTGTTCCAGGTAGACTCAGCAGCTGGACACACCTGTGTTCCGTGCTGCTTACCACAGCTGTTACAAAAGGAACCGGGCGTGGGCGTGGTGGGCGAAGGCGTTGAAGTAGACTTCTTGTCCTTCTTGCACCGGGACACAGCGCAAGCGCATACAGCTGTAGGGGGAGCTCGGATGGCAGAGGTGGCACACCTGGCAGCCTCATAGGAGCGACATATCGTCAACACATCCTTAAGAGAAGAGGAAGAGTTGAGGGAGGTGAGGCGTTGGACAAGCTCCTCGTCCTTAACACCCATCAGGATCACCTGCTTCAACTGGGTCTCCTCGCACTGCTGGTGGTTACCTGGGCATATATCTACCTCTTCCGAGGCTCTCTTGAGTCGTACATAAAAGGCATCAAAAGTCTCGCCCTCCATCTGTCTGCAGCTAAACAATTCCCTCCTGCGTAGGGCTTCATTCCGCTGCCCTTTGATGTGCCGTTGTAGAATATCCAGTACCTCCCCTACAGATAATGAAGCGGTCGGATGTACCTGCGACTTATGTTCCAATAAGTTGTTTAGGCTGTGACAAACTCTGGAGATCCACCATTGTAGCATAATCAGTCCACCGTCGCCGCCATTCACGAAAAGTCTGGAAATTCATATCAGGCTTCAAGATGGGCGGTGTTTGAGCAGCCGCTTTAGGAGGGGCTGGGGAGCGTGAAGAAAGCATTGATGAGGTATCTGAACCAGTCAATACCGAGGCAGTGTTAGAGCCAGGGGCTTGGTTAACAGTGAGGCGAGTTATCAAAGCTTCAAGACCGTGCACTGTCTTCCAATCTCCGTTGGTGGTCTCTCTCTGCCTCTGCTTGCCTTCTTTCTTCATTCTCCACAAGTCTTCTAGCTTCGTCCTTGCGCCTCTCATCCCTCATAAACTTCATTAAAGCAATTATCTCTGAAGACAACGCTGAAGATCGAGGTGAAGGGCTGCGCGATGTGGTGGGAGCTGGAGGGTCCTGTTCAGCCTGGTCATCCATCTCTGCCGAGCTGTCATCCGACTGACTCATCCAGGCGTTGGCTCCACGACTGCGTAAAGCACGAGACATAATAACTTAATCTGTGTACTGTGTCTTAAATCAGTGTTAACCGGTCAGCCCGTCGTATCAACAAGATCTGAGACAAAAAAATTAATTAAATGCACAGATAAATAGATTATATATAAAATATATATAAAGGAATGGCCGCAGTCAGTGTGTTTGTACGTGTGTGTGTGTGTGTGTGCCCGCCTTGGACAGTGTCTCGCTGGGAGGGAGAGGAGGGAGAGGCAGGGACTCACAGTCAGTCGCCAGTTACCCCCTGGACGCGGTCAGAGGAGGGTGTACTGAACTCTTCTCCTCACAACTGCCCAGAACATGCCTTTTACCTTGGGAATCCTTTAGAACAAGGTCACACAGTTATGGCACTAAACACACAATGCACTATAAACTTCACAGGAACTTGCTTTCACTGACACTGCTCAAAGTTGCTATAAATTCTTTGAAGAGACGGCCATTAGCGGTGGTTGACACAGAGCAGGGGTCCATAAGCCGGTCTTGCCACAAACTTTACAATTCACTTGTATAATGATCCAGTAAAATGACTCACTGCGCCATGCATGTGTTCTGGGTATCAAATTCTATCTACAGGAGCGAACACAAACACCTGTAGAGTTTTCGTAGGTTCTATTTCCTGGATAAACAGATACACAAGGGAGGTGGCACTCCTTACTCTGTCTGGGGATCAACTAGCCTTTCGGGGGACATGTGGTAAGTGATTTATTAGCAGCTTCCATATGTCGCCAGGCACATTAATTAAGCGTGTGGGACATGGTAAATACATTGCCACATGCTGCTAGCTAGGCTGAATAAATAGTGTATATAAATGGAGCACATACATAATATACATACAGCATACATAATATACAAACAGTGTGTAAATGGAAGTCAGGGCTAAAAAAAGGGTACTCAAACTATCCAACCAGGAGCGAACTCGTAACAATGGTTTTAAATAAGACAAATTTAGATGTAGGCGCGAAATAGGTAAACATTGGTTTGGAAATAGAGCAGTGGATGAATGGAACAAGTTACCAAACATCATTATTGACTCGAATACGATGGATAACTTCAAAAATAGGTTGAATGGCTATATGAGCAATGGGGGTTGGGTGAATAAAGGACTGCCCAGTATGGGCCAATAGGCCCGCTGCAGTTTCCTCCATTCTTATGTTCTTATGTTTGTTTTGTTGTCAAAGTAAGGGAAACAATTTAAACCCTGCAATTGTGTATAAATGAGGAAAAAGTCAGATTAGGAACCCTGGGACTTGGTCACAATTTTTGTGGTGCCATATGGCAGCAGGGTCTACCATTAGAAAATACATTATGCTTCCAATATCTTCCCAGGCGGTAGTACCCCCCTGTTTGATAGCTGCCTACTACCTACTACACGTGATGTAATAGACTGTAATATAATATAAATATCTTGATAATTATCATTGAGTTGGTGTCTTATACTGGATATCATGGCAAATTTATCACAAAAAATTGCTTCATCTATTAACATATTAAGCCACTATTGATTGACCTGGACTCTTCAGCTTTCAATACGTTAGAAATATTGTGAGCTTTTCTTGATTAAACTCTTAAGTATGAATACGTAAGTCTTCGTACTTAAATGGTAATAGAAAAATCTGTAATAATAATAATACTAATAATAACAATAATAATAATAATATTAATAATAATAATAATAATAATAATAATAATAATAATAATAATAATAATAATAATAATAATAATAATAATAATAATAATAATAATAATAACACGGATTATGATTTACGCAGGTAATACTGAAGCTGCTGTGGTTGGTTAGCAAGGACATGAGGAAAATTCTCAATGAAATCACCCCACTCCTTCTCCACATCCACCTGCTCTTCTTCCTCCCGCTTTTTGCATGGAGGAATGCAGACTTCAACGCCGCGCTTCTCACATGCTGCTTTGCCGTCAAGACCTAGTGCAGCACCAGGGAGTACTCGTTACTATACACAACAACCAAGTCACGAACCAGACGAAAGATCTTCCTACCAGTCGAAGGAACCCACTTCAGCCCCCCTGTGGAGAAAGAACCACTTTTGTGTCACCAACCTGACAAAGAAATCTGCCTCTACCACCCACCTTGCAAATGCGTCTTCCTCTACCACCCACCTAGCAAAGAAATTCCTCTGCCACCTACCTAACAAATGAACTTTTATGCCACCCACATAGCAATGGAACTCTTCTGCTACCCACCTAACATAGGAACTCTTCTGCCACCCACATAGCAAAGGAACCCAAACAAAACGACATGAACACACTGTAGTTCTTGATAGAGAAGACTATATATAAGAATCTCGTTGTGTGGGAATGGTAAAGAAAATAAGACTCACGTGGTTTTAGAGTTAAGGCCAAAGTATTCACGAATGATACCATCAATTATCACTTACTTTACGAATGAGGAAGAGATATACTTACATATTTGTGTCCTTTTCGTCCGCATCAAATTAAATATTAATAGTACTGTAAAGATGCCGTATCTACTTCACTCCTGAGTTGCTTCAAGTTTATAAGGGATTCATTCGTTCTAGCTTGGAGTATTGTTCTCATATATGAAGTGGCTCTTCTTCTGTCCGTTTATTAGATAGAGTAGAATCAAAGCCATTTCGTCTAATTAACCCTTCTCCTTTAGTTGATAATCTCTCTTCCCTTTCTCTTCGCCATAATGTTGCTTCACCCGTTATAGTACATATTTCTTTCCTCACACAGCCAAACTGCAGAATGCTCTGCCTTCTTCTATGTTTCCATACTCTTACAATCTGTCTCACTTCAAAAAGCTGGTCTTCCGGCATCTTCGTGATGGAGATTAATAGTCTGTTCTCCTCATTCTTTCCTTGTGGTTATCAGCATATACCTAGATCACGCCCACCTACAGTGATTTACTTGCATATATATATATATATATGTATATATATATATGTATATGTATATATGTGTATATATATATATATATATATATATATATATATATATATATATATATATATATATATATATATATATATATATATATATATATATATATATATATATATATATATATATATATAATATATATATAGTGTTACATAAGAACATAAAAACATAAGAATGGAGGAAACTGCAGCGGGCCTATTGGCCCATACTGGGCAGTCCCATTTACACCTAACCCCTATTGCTCATATAAGCATACAACCTATGTTTGAAGCTATCCAGCGTATTCGAGTTAATGATGATATTTGGTAACTTGTTCCATTCATCCACTACTCTGTTTCCAAACCAGTGTTTACCTATTTCGCGCCTGAATCTAAATTTGTCTAATTTAAAACCATTGTTACGAGTTCGCTCTTGTTTGGATAATTTGAGTACCTGTGTAATGTCTCCTTTGTTTAGCCCTGACTTCCATTTATACACCTCTATCATGTCAGCCCTCGCTCTGCGTCGCTCGGGGGAGTGCAAATTAAGATGCTTTAACCTGTCTTTGTACTCAAGGTTCCTAATGCCGGGGATTGGTCTTAACATTCTCCTCTGGATTCTTTCCAAGGATTCTATATCCATTCTGTAATACGTGCAACGTAAGATAGAACTACCCTTAACAACCAATTACTAAATGAGCTGTATGCCCCTGCCGGACGTACTGCAAATGAGTATGTATTCTTGATATATATATATATTGTATGATTTTATATTTTTTCCACACTAGAATTTCATTGCTTTGTTGCTGCGTATGTGAATAGATTATATTTTCAAAGTCAGTAACACTGTAATAACATTAACAATGAGACGTTATATCATGTACTATGTTTGGGTCAGTCAGCAACCCATAAAAGCCGAGGGTTTCAAAGCCAGCTAGGAGTTCGGTCATAGGCTAGGGTAACCTCCGGACCTTTACACTGGCCTGCGTTGTCAGTTGACTTATGTGTTCGATCGATCGAGTGATGTACTTGTGGTATTCATTGTTGAGGCTGGCTGGCTGTATTTAGCGTCTTATGAATTCAGTGTTTTATGTATTTTTGTTCTTGAATCGTGTATTGATTTAGTTATAAGTGATAATGGCAACCTGAAAGTATTCTAGAATGTTCATGTGATTAGCTTTATGTCTTTGTTATGAGTGATTTACTTGCATATAAATATATATATATATATATATATATATATATATATATATATATATATATATATATATATATATATATATATATATATATATATATATATATATATATATATATTAAGTTTAAGGTAGTTGACATTCTTGATATACCCTTTTCTTCCTCGTCTTTACCAAGTTCAATAAACGTCATTAATTATCACTTGAGGACGAGGAGCAGACATACTTCATAAACTTATCTGTCTCTTATCTTCACCATGTTCATAAATACCCATACTTATCACGTAGTTAAGCATGAGGGTTGCCTCACTCCATGCACCACCTTCTTCTTCATCTTCACCATAATCAATCAAGTGTATATCTGGAAATTATTTATGTGCAGTGAGTATCATTCAACGAGTCATAGTATAACCTTCAAAATACGAAGATTTCCTTGTTTTGATCTATAATTTGTCAACATGATTTAGTTGTTTCCATCAATTGTCTAGGACAGTATCGCTGTCCATTTTGACTCAACATTTGTTTGTTCTACTAGCATCTTAAACGAGATGTTGTTCTACTAAACCAATTTTGTAAAACACAGTTCTATAGGTCTGGGTTTTCCGAATTAAGTTTCGTCAAAATCATGCAAGCCATCTTTTAATAAGAAAATGAAACAAACAAAACTAAACTTAACCTTGGCTGGTTGCTTTTGCCTTAAAAATAAAGGTGTATAATACTATAGCTGCCTTCGCGAAAAAGGACCAGAACACTATCCAAGATAATTATATGTTTTTACTCATACATTGTTCCTGCGTTACCAGGAAACGAAAACATAAATGTTTTCTGGAATTTTGTTTATTCATTCGGTAAGTTGGTCTGTAAATCTGTAAGAACTGAAACAGTATTTGGAAAAGAACCTGAATTTATTTGGCCAGTCTGTAGACACCCTGAGGCAAATATTAAACTCAAGTAATTATCTTTGTAGTTATTTTATTTAGGGTGATATGTGTGTGTGTGTATGTGTGTGTGGGTGTGTGTGTGTAAAACTATGGCTTTAACTCAAGACTGATATATTAAATTTCTGTAATACACCACGCCCATATATTTCTAACAGTTACGGAACAATAAGCAGAGAGAGATAGAGGTATTGTACACCCAAGAGGTAGAAGGAGAAAGGCATTCACTACATATAATTATATCCTTTGGGTAAATATTAAGGAGAGAGAGAAGGCTGTGACAATGATTTTTCATCTGTGTGTATATTTCTGTTAAGTAAAGTCCGAAGAATATATATTTGTGTTTGTGTTTAGTACCTCAAGTATGGGGAGGCAAAGCGAAGCTGCCGCGGAGGTCCAGCTGAGGGCCCATTTTATTACAAAAAGATATGCTGCATAATTATGAGTTTTATACCACCATTAGGTAGGATCTTGCTGGGTCTGAGCATGATATAAAGTAAAACAAGATATATTTTACAGTAAATGCACAAGACAATAAATAAGACCCGGATATATTTTCCCCACGAAATGTTGGTTAAGGGGCACAGAGACAGTGCTTCCATTTTTAGGGTAATTGCCGTATTTTATGGTAATCAGGACCTTGTTAGGATAGAGTTAAGGGTAGTCCATTCATATTAGGGTAATTTAGGGGAACAAGGATAATTTTAGGGTAATGGATGCATATTCTAGGGTAACTAGGGCATAATGTCTTTTCCAAATATTAGACAATCTATCCATCCCTTCAATGGAATATGGAGGCAGTGGAACGGACGGAGGCAGCAGAGTGTGCCAGTATTAGTGAGCTACATCCTGCTTCCAACACTTCCAAGAAAAACCTGCTAGCTATTCATGATATTTATCAAGATGTATCTGCAACTAAAACTCTGCATAAGCTGAAGGCGCAAGCTAATCCAGGGGAGATTAATAAGTTTCATAATTCATGAATGGTTTTTCTCATTGAATCTGCCTTGCCTATTCAAGAGATATTTCATTTTAATGGCCCTCTTTAGAGGATGAATGGAAGGCTTATTTTGCTATTGATTATTTATTAAAGGAGAAGTTCTGTCTGGTGTACTGGAACAAGGTTATCAGCAAAAAGAATGCAGCTGGAATTACTTGCTTTCCCAATTTAAGAACAGTAATTTGTAGTATCTTGTCTCCGCCTCTTTTTTTCAAACGCAGTGATTGAAAGATCCTCAAGTAAATTAAATTTTACCAAAACATCACAGAGAAAATGTCTAAAAAATAAAACCTTATGTGATCTCATGCATACAATATATTACATGAGAAAAGCAACACAGACACAATCCATGGTTATATCTTAGCAATAAAGAAATCTGTCAAGCAAGTAAAGAGTAGCGCGACTTGCAGTGAGTGTACTGCCCTCAATTTTGATTTGTAAGAGATCTGTATGCTCATTCCATTGTAAATTGGGTGTAGTGGTAGAGTTGGGTCAGGTATTCGTGACATTCTCTCTCCCAAATTATAATGCTATTACAAATTATAATGCTAGGAGTTATTATACTATTCTACACTTTTATTATAATGGGGCTGTCTGTATTTTTTTCAGTCATTTTCATTAATAGGTATCTTTGAGAAAACCTGTCTACACACCTCTATATAGTGATTTGTTTATAGCAGAGTGCACGAATTCTTGACCCCTGGTCCTGGTTGGTTGAATTTTAATTTTCGGTTTTAATACAATCTACACAATTTATATTTTTATTTTCAAATAAATACATTTCAGCTAGCTTAGTTGTCTTCGATATTCACTGGACACATTAATCTAGATCAGGAACTCTAATGTCTTTTTATTTTTTTGTTGTAAGGAATTTAACAGTAACAGGATTAGTAAAATCACCCCCCCCCCCTCCACTTTTTCAACAAATAGGGCTATGGAGTCTGATTTCCTGAATCGTGTGACACTCAGTGTTCACCGCACCCAGTGACCTCCAGAGTAACCGGGCTTGCTAGCCGGTAGCAGTTTCAACATTGCTGAGGTCATCGGATTCCCTTAACAACTAGGAAGCCATCTTAGACCTGTCGTCGATGCCACCTTGGATTCCTCATCGACGCCATCTTGGATCTTCACGTCAAGGAGAAACTGTGACCTTTATAATCAGCTGGCTGCCCAACTCCACTGAAATCTATGGTTTTCAAGACCAGTCTTTCAATCAATGTTGAATTAATATAATCCCAATATTTTTCCCTTGCTCATTTATTGATACTTTAATTATTTTACTTATAATCTAAATGGATAAGCAAGGTTATTGTTTAGTGTAATTTTCTTTTATTGTTAGGTATTTATGGATAAGTTCATTTAATATTCGGGTTCAGACATTACGGACTTGGCGAAACATTATCATAGTGATTCTGAACAATCAGAAAACGGTTTTGACACTGAACTACAGGTAGACTTGCAAGGAACACAGACGCAATCCAGGCGACAAACTTTAATTGAGAGTAGAGAACAATTTATTGATCAATCATTTGACGATTTAAGCCGTAGAACCCTTAGGTCTGGTAGTGCGTACGACACAACACCTTATTGCGGGCATGTTTTCTCTTATCCTACAGAGATACACAGTGTGTCAGAGACTCCTTCTTTACCTCCCGCATCCACTAATCCTTTAGTTAGATCTAAGTTGTCTAACAACTCACTAACCATGGCTGCAGCTAGCTCAGGCATGTCATCTAACAATCCTGACATTGTTCAAGTATTACAACGCGTTCGTGAGTTCACTGAGGAAGATGATCATCGCGTAACTACATTTTTACGGTCATGTGAGGATACCATGAAGAACATCCAAATA